CGTCAAGCAAACGTAAGTTGAAGGATGCCTGTCACCATTTATCTTTTCTGATTCATCATGGCCATTCTTCACTTATTCACATTTTTCGCCAATAAGGATACAAAATCTGGCAGTTGGTCATTGCGTTTTGCGTTTTTTTTTCGCCTGTGAGTGCTCATCCATAAATGAGTGAGATTTTAAAATTTATATAAAAAAATGAACAACTTCTTGATGTAACACAACTGAAGGGATCTACAATTTTATGTAGCTTTTTCGTAGAACGTGTAGCGCGCAACTTTGCGATTCAATCAAAAATTTTTAAGAAAACTAAATATTGATATTGTAACGACTGGCACAGTTAGCATCGGTACTTATTTGGAATGATGTGACCACTTCGCAACTTAAATTTTTAATAATATCACAACTGTCTTAATCAAATTAAACCAGGTTATGTAGATGGTAAAGGCAACCGAAGAAATAAAAAGTAACCAAACGTTGATAGATCTCTTAGGATATCTTGAATCCCCTTGCTGTGTGAAATTTTGGAATCTCTCTACATTATGCATTGTAGCCAAATTAATTTGCAGTTTATTCAACTTTGCACATGAACACGAACACATACATTATATATTAAAAATCGAGCATAATAACCTTATTTTGCACTCTCATCTCCTCTAAATGCAATGCATTAATTTCGGTTTTTAAAATGTTTGAAATCACGGTGTAGAAGTGTTTTAATCATTTAATTTGTTTTATTATTTTGTACTTTTACCCCTATCTTGGCAAACACAAATAACAACGTCTTGAATCAAAATTAATGACAAAAAACACTTAAATATTTCCTACCAATTAAATACATACTATACAGGAGGAGGTTAGTTGTACTCGTAGTAAATACATATGTATATGTAATTGTAAAATTTGTGTAATCAAAAATATATTTAAAGTATGTGCATGCGTGCATTTACTATTCTAACCACTATACATTCACTTTACTTAAAAAAAATCAGCGGCAAAATCTTACCGGCGCCACCAGTGATGCTGAGGTGGGCATGACCAATGGCACAGTTGGCGGAGTTGCAGGACATGGTGGCGGTGAGCATCACGAAGAGGAAGAGTTGTCGGAAATTGCTATACATCAAGGCATACACACCATTGAATTCGTATTAGGATCTGTTTCACACACTGCATCGTATTTNCGAAGAGGAAGAGTTGTCGGAAATTGCTATACATCAAGGCATACACACCATTGAATTCGTATTAGGATCTGTTTCACACACTGCATCGTATTTGCGTTTGTGGGCACTCTCCTTAGCACACGCACGTAAGTAAAGGGAGTGCGATTCATATACATATAATTCCTAAGAGTTTATTGAATTACAAATATGTAATGTATGCATATCCAATTCTGTATGCTAACGTTTCTTTTACTTTTNTGCGTTTGTGGGCACTCTCCTTAGCACACGCACGTAAGTAAAGGGAGTGCAATTCATATATAATTCCTAAGAGTTTATTGAATTACAAATATGTAATGTTGCTTAAATCTATGTAGAATTAGCAGAGGTTTTATGGAACATGGTATTGTCGATTGGTTTGAAGCAGGAAGGGTGGACCGGTGGTATTATGCTGACTATTGTATTTGCTTTCTGGGCCATACTAACTGTCGGCATTTTGGTTTTAATGGAAGGCCTGTCAGCTTTCTTACACACTCTACGTCTGCACTGGTGAGTTGACACTGTGATAATCACACTTAACTATAAACGACTATATTTTTTCTTTTATTTTGTAGGGTTGAATTCCAAAGCAAGTTCTACAAAGGCACGGGATATGCTTTCCAACCATTTGCTTTCGACCAAATTATTGAAAATGGCGCCGCTGTCGCAGTTGAAGGTGCCGAGTAAATCTAAACTATTAAATTTGTTTGGGTTATTTGGAGTTCGCTACAATGTTGGTTACGCCACAAGCACAGTACATTAGAAAGGAAGAATTTATGCACACATACAGTTATATCGAAATAAATAATTAAAGATGTATTTATGAAGTCATGGGATTTAATGTATAACATACATAAATATATATAAAAGTTCATCAACAATCTTAGTAGAATTGCATTAACGAGAACATAATCACATACATATATAAATATATAATACATAATTAATTTAAAATCTAATGATGCTTACTGTCGCCTGCCTCTTAAACTTTCAAATGAGATTACTCCATATTTTACTCATAAATATGTACATAGGTATGTATTTTTATGCTTCATATAATTTTAAGCGGCACAAGAATTTATTGAACGTTAATTTTCATCAGCAAACTAAACTATACATAAAAAAAACGTATATACTTTCTATGTACATACACAGACAAACATGAATTTAAAAGCTTAGTTCGATATTTGCAGGTAATCGGAATATGCATTTCTATTTTTTGTTTTATAATT